CAAAGAAAGGACTATTGTGTCATCTGCCTTGACTTTGGAGCAAGGCACAAAGTAATTTATTTTTCTGCAGAGCACAGAGAGCATTAGGGATGCTAAAGTATTTAAGAGAGAAGAATTGCCATTTCTACGTGTTGTCATTAGAACACTGAACCACTTATGGTTTTGATGGTGGTTTTATCCTGCTATCAAAGTATCTTGTGCAAATTTTAATTGGAATAACTCGTGGCTGGACCAGATGAAAGACAAAGGGCATGCTCTTGTAATGCAATAAGAAGGAGACAGCCTCATTTCTAACTCCACTGGGATTAGATCTCTTCTGAATTTATCCAGGGAAGTCATGTTTGTTTTCTGGACTTAGGAATCATTTTCAGTCTGTCCTTCTGTTGAGCTTGACCTCAAAAGTAAGTTTTGTCTAAAGATCCCAAAATACTTCAAAAATTAAAGGTTATTCTTTGAATAACTAAAGTTTAATTGAGATGGTTTCTAAAGATTTATCTGCAGCAGTTTAAATTTATTTAATTTTTAATAATTCACATACTGATACATGTTTTGCAGTGTTATTTAGAACAAATTAAATTAAAAAGTGGTCCAGAACTGCTGAAACAATAAAAAACACAAAACAAACAAACAAAAAGATAAAAAGGGAGAAAAGCAGCCTCCTTGAAGGCAACCTCTTTGATTACATCTGCCCTCAACCAACTGAAGACAGTCTTTCTGAATAATCACATCTCACAGTTTAAGAAAAGATGAATAGAAAGCTGCGTAAATTGGAGCCCATAGGACTAGCATGAGAAAAGCTGAAGGGCAGTAACATACAAGAGAACACTCTGAGCATCTCTGAGTATTCTTATAAGGACAACAGGTACTTGTTCTGACTTACATCTTAACTCATTGAGTAGATATTGAGCAGTGTCAACACTTACAGGACCAAATTCATATTATAGTATTTGGCAAGTCAAACCTCAACCCCAACATGTGTCATAGGCTGTAAACATCACATTCAAAAGTAACTTTCCTCACATCAGGTTTCTCAAACAGAAATTCCACATTACTTTTATGTTTATCCTTACCTGAATCAGGATTAGTACAGTAATCCAACATGAATGAAAAAAACTGGGATAGCTGAGTAAGAAAAAGAAAAGAACAAACACATTGATCAGTTTAGGGGATCCAACAAGCATTAACATTCTCTTTCCTTACTCAGTTACTAGCAATTTCCCATTTAAGGGGATCTAAGACACTACCGTATGTTCCCATCAGCTGCAATCACGACACAAGTGGTGTCCTATTACAGAAATAGCTCTCTCTCTTTCCTTCTTTGCTATGAATTCACAGATTGACACTATATGAATACATAAAATGTTCCAGGGCTGTATCAGTGCTGTTGACACTTCCGGGTGTAATTCAATTTGCCCATCACCCAGACTATTTGCTTAGACTTGCTTTGTAGTCAGTAGAAAGCAACTGCTACAGTGCAGTGAACTGACTTTAGACACAGATGTTATGATGAACACAAAGGCCTCAAAGTTCCTAATTTCTTGTATTGACCCTAAAGGAAGCCTGGGCTTACATGCCGAGACACTGTTGCACATTTATTGCCTCACAGACACGGTTAAGATCACTCACAGTGTGGTGACCTGCCATCTCTGGCTACCAGGGCTGCTCTACAGGAACCTCTAACCTATGGTTGTACGGGCAGAATGTATGTATGTAGTTATGCCTATGTAGTTATACACATATACTCACATGTCTGTGTACACTGAACTTAGTTCACATGTGAGGAGGGGAAGTGGTTTTATTAATCAGGATCCAGCTTTGCAGGAAAAAAATAACCAAGCACTCGTTTTATTTGTGCAACCTCAGTGCTTTGGGGATAACATAACTGCTTGTGCAGGAAGAGTGGAAGATTACAAACCTGTAGTTGATCTTGTTCATCAGCATATTCGATTGACCGGAAGATACTCAGAGAATAGCGGCGCCTCATCTCTATCCGGGCCATTGTGGAGCGGTACCAGTTCTGGATGAGGATGGCAGCTTTAATGACTGTCAAAACAGAGGGCAATGCACAATACATGGATGCAGTGTCATCTACAGCTGAAACACACATGCTGCCTTGGCAGAATTTTGCAGACAGACGACAAATTCAGTCCATTGTGCACAGTCAACAAACAGTAAGAGGAAACCCTGTGAGACTGAAAAGCTGTTTCCTGGTAATGCGTGATGCCTTTACTGTTCCTGTCCTCAGACACTGATCCCGAACTAGCTGACTTGCTCAGGCCTATATTGTCACTAAGCTTCCCCATTTCATTGTCCTGAAGGCAGTACCCCTGTAAGAAGTCAGTCGTTCATGACACCAGATGGGCAGTATGTGTGTTATGGGAAGGTGAGCAAAGGAAGAAGAGCAGTTTGGCCTACCAACAGAATGTATTTCTCTATCAAAGATGCAGTAAAAAGCTTCAGATTGTGCAAACAGTAACATGAACCACGCAATGACAGCATTTGCAACAGCCTCTTCTACCAGGAAGTTTTTTCCTGCACAGCTGCATCAGCAAGCCATCAAAATTCAAACACTAGGATAAAATGTTAACAAATTATATTGAAGGAAAGAATATGTTACTTAAATAGACAAGCCAAAAGGCATGCAGGTGTATCTTTGGCAAGCTTGGTGAACAAAGGTACACTTCCAAAGAATTCAATGGAACACGTCAGAAGAGCATTTTTGACTATGTGCTGAATACACGTTCCACTCAGCACTTTCAGAAGTTGTGTCTACTACTGTCTCAGTCTGGAAAACTTCTGGAAGCTTCACTGAAGGACAGTCACTAAGACTGCAGCATGAAGGAAGGAGCCTGCTGCCTACAGGCCCCATTCATGCCACGGAGATCACAGTTATTAACAAGTTTATTAACAAATAACAATTTGTACTAATAGTTTTTCTCCCTGCAAAGCAATAAAGAAAAGCTCTGTACTAGAGGGACAACAATTTACACTAATCAATTATTTTAACTGATCACAAATAGCAGAATTTTGAGACTAGGATGAAGGGAACCCCTGAGTGAGAATGATTTTTTTTCTTAAACTGATAGTTATGCAGGTAAAGAAAAACCTCAGTGGAAAAGTGATTCTATTAATAAATGCATAACGTTAAGGAAGACTTTTTATAAAAATGCTTACATATGCTATAGCAACACATTGTTTGCTTATTTTACTATTAATGAGTATACAGTATAGTTAAAGTGGTAAAGTTCTCTAGTTCAGACAAGACCAAAATCAGTAAAGACTCCCATCCTGTAGATACTACACCCATCCTAGAAAACTCCTCCTACCCGAAGGAAATGTGATCCTTATATGTCTAAGAACATCCTTCATACCCTACATAAATTCTGAGATTTCTTTTCTTTTCTGTCCTTTCTGAAATCCTCCACCACTATAGACCTGAAAGCCTGACACATCACAACAAGGCTGTCATCAAGGTTTCTGTTTAGAAGAAAAAGGGGTAAAGCACAGTCACGAGCACAGAAACTGATTTCCAGCATCAGAGCCATTAAACTTCCCATTAAACCCCCCTGTGTTGCTTAATGATCCTGAGCACTTAACATGGCACAAATTCCACTGGTATCACATAAGACAGAGACATATCAGTCACTGTGGTTAATGTTGCAAATCTAACAGAATATTTCCTGTCTTTTTTTTTTTATTATTATTTTTTTATTTTTTTTATTTTTTTAATTGTACTTATTACAATTTATTTCAGGACAGAATCAGAAAATAATTTTCACACATGGCTAAACTACATCTGTAAAAAAATTTGTTGTCAGTTCCAGAAGGTCTCTACACCAGCAAGTACCTCTTAAATTCATGTTATTAATGCATTAGAGGGTTGTACAGCCTCAGGCTGCAGAGAGAATGATGGTTCATCATCACTTGACTACTGCTGAAGTATAGAAGGAAAACCACCCAGCAAGTGAGAAGACAAAACACTGCCCAACAAGCACATTAAATCATAAGCCAGCATTGGGCTAATCAAGTCTGCCCCACATCCATGTGTGTTGATGGTTGTAGGCTAAGAAAGAGTACACTTCTCACGCCCACTCCAAGCTTATATGCTCTCAGATATATTCCCAACTAGCTCATTTCCCAAGGCCATGCAAGGCACACAAATGCATAGCATGCAAACCCAAAGAGGAAGGGCTGTCTCCCAGTTACAGGTAAGTCTGGGACTCCAGAAGCTTCCATTCTACTTTCACGTAGCATTGAAGCTGCTATGACTACCTAGTAGCATCCACAAAGCTGAGGGCTACTCTTAAACCACTCAGCCTGGATCCCTGTAGCCATGACTAAGAGCTCCCTACTTCGTAGACACCAGTTTACTGGGACTGCCTGTGCAGAGCCTGGTGTGTTCATTCCAGGGTGGGGTATCATTAAAAGCAGGGGAAGGATGCATAGTTTATTGAACATTTAACCAGGTACTGTGGAGACTTTCAACTGACAGCCTCAGTAATTGCCAGGGAGAATGACAGGCCAGATACTTGGTAGGCCAGAAAACTGATTTTGACAGTCACTGCAATAGCTCTGCTTTCTCACATAATCGGGGTCACCCAACAGCAGAGAAATCGGGGCAGTTTGCCCAGGAATCCTGTGGTGTGAAAGGCCGTAAAAGATCCCCCTCAAAACCTTACCCTCTAAGCTTTGCCAGTGACACAGCAAGCACAGACACATCTGAAATTTAGCTTCTGTCCCAGATGCTCTGACTCTTTTACAACCCAATCTGCTGATGTTAGAGGTGGTCTGAAGTTGCCCTCCAACCTCAGCCAGCATCTAAAATCAGTGCAATGTTTTACAAAGAAAATAATTTTCTCTGAATGAGTATTTTGACAGCACAACTGTGGGGAAATGTTCCCTTACAATCCTCTTCTAGTGTTACAGAGAGAACAATCACTTGCCCTGAAGACAAAGGCAACACTCACCTCTCTCTGACTTTCTGTCAGGTACAGATCTGTTGCACCCCATGGTTCCAGTGCTGCTGCCTATCCGTTTTAATTGCCGCTTTAAATGCGGATATGGAGCATGTTCCTCTCAGCTGTTGGCATTCCACACATTTCCGGGGTTGGTCCTTCAGTGATGAGGACTGTACCTGTCTGGGTTCCTCAGCTCTTCCTAGCACTCCTGCCAGGGAGGAGATATTGGGAGGAAGGGACAAGGAGAAAAAACCAAAAGTGTTTGACAACACAGAATCTGAAATACCTACAGCACAACTGTACATCACATCCTACACAAACTGGACCTGATGAACTATACCAGGTTTCTTTTCCACATTTGATTACTATCAGCTTCCATTCAAAAGAATTTGACTCAGTAATTAATACAGTTTACTTCTTACATGTTAGCTTAAGGTTAACATGTTAGCTAAAAGTGCACCAGTGATTTCTTAATCAGAAAAATAGCTATTTAAAGCCTTACTACTAGGGACAAGGGACTACAGAGTTATGTTACTCTTAATAATTGTGATTTGAAAATTGGAACTGCAGAATTTTAAAGACTCTAAATTACATCTGATACTACTGCTAAAAAAATCCCAACCCTCAGGCCTCCTAACACTCTATGGATTTTAAAAGGTGCCCTACCACCTCATTTATCACTTTATCACTCAGTGTCACTACCAACAAATTTACCATGAGAAACAGTGCCATAGCAAATCACTTCATTATCAGATTTCATTTAAATAAACCATTCTATTTTCTGTTGCTTTTCTACGGAAACAATTCAAAGAAAAGATTTTGTTTCATTAAATAAATGAACAAAGTATATTTTTTAGTGAAGTCTTTCGGGGTTTTGCCCTGGCACTTGCTCAGCTCTTCACTAAGTAATATCATTCACTAATGCAATACATTCCCTAATCAACAAGTTCAAATGAATACAATTCCCCTGACATACAAAATGGATCCGTTTCTAAGTAGCAAGAAAGTCACCGATGCTCTGAGATACTGAACTTTGTTTTAGCTAAAGATTTCTTACATGATCACAGTTCCCCCTCTCTCTCCTTGTCTCCAAGGATACATGTCTGATATCTAAATTATTCCATTTGCTGTTTTGTTTCATTGATATTCCTTTTAACTTGAGGTTTAAAACAAAGAAGAAATCCATCAGCATAAAATGAATGCTTAACTACTATTTTCCTTTGGCTTTACTAGCAGAAATAAAATGAACAGGAGGACACAAGACAAAAAAAATCATAAATGCATAACTAGCTGATCTTCAATTTCAATAATTAGAAAACATTTATAGTTGTGGGACTATATGTGTAGTTTTCTACATTCATTTTTATGTATGATATCTTGTCACGTCATGTCATTTCACATTAATATCACACAAGTCTTTACAGGTCTGGGGCTATTTTTCTGGGTCCCACAACACAGGGGTCTCCTACACTTGAGCTGGGTCTGACACCTTATGAGTCAGTAATTAGTTCAGAAAAGAAGGATTTTAAGTTTTTTCCCCACAATGGACTGTTTTACTTCGCTCTGAAGGAGCTATCATGAAATACGAAGAAGTGCTGTTATATTTATTTTGAGCCAATCAATGCCTTTGGCAGCATCAAATACAGCACTGGTTTTGCTTAAAGCTCAAATTTGTTTTATCTCCAAACAGTTATTTCTCTCCTGTATACCATCTCCTCACTTGTCCTCCTAGGAGAATCTTGTCTTCATTAGGCCATCAAACAAGCCAGCCATGACTTGAATTGTGATCAGAAGAATATGACTGAGAGCAAAATAGAACTTACAGTCTAAATCCTACTGCAGAGAGACTGTCTCAATTAAAGGGCAATGCAACCGGGCAATGGGAGCCCCAAACAACACCATCATTCCTCTCCTCCTGAGAGAAATGATGGTTCTCTTTGTGGCTTTCAGTAATGTAAGCTTTTCTCCCAGTCATTCCCACTCCTTCCTTCACATACCTCCAAACTCGCAGACTTCTAGCACCTCCTTGAGCAAAGAAATAAAAAGGTAGAGACACAGGGACAAAAATTTTATTGTGATAGCAGTAAGTGAAGACTGAAACATACTCCTCACAGCAGGAGGAAAACTTGCACAAACATATCCTATATCCTATCATTAAACCTCTTAAAAAGGCCAAATCTGGCCATCAGTGAGCTAGTCCAGTGGAGTAATCATCACCTTCAGTCCCAAATATCTGCATTCTAATATGGACATAGCAAACATTCAACTACCTTTTCCTGATGGTTTTTCAGCTGGCTACAGAGACATCCTGGCTGCCAACCTGCATGCCCAGACTCCAGGCCATGAGAGTAATTTCTATGACCTACTTACTACGCAGTGTAACGGTGTCTGGCAAAGAATTATTTGCCATTACAAAATTCCCCACAAAATGTTGGCTGATGAAACAGAAAGCTGGGATTTTACCAAGGTATTGAAAGAGAGACAAGGTAGATGGATGAGAATTTGGGACACAATGCTATGTTAACATTCTGAATACTGTACCACTGATTTACCTTTAAGAAAGAATCTGTCACGTTGACTAAAAAGCAGGCAGTAATTCAATTTCTACAAGCCAGTGATCTGTCCCAGTTTTAGACATAACTTCAAGAAATTGCTACATTTCTCTCAGTTCAGGAAAAACGCAATTTTGTGATGGACAGGCTCAGAATACACAGCCCATCCATTGAAGCAAAATGAAGTGTCTTTGCAATCATGCCAATAGACATACACAAAGCTAAGCCAGAGTGGCACATGCTACTCTTTTCTTGACAGGAGTTACTGAAGGAGTGCTCAGAAATTTGGGGGTCAGAACCCAAGCTGTCAAGAGCCTGAATTACAGAGATAATAAATCAGCATCATGTGATCCAGATGTAACAGGTGCTGCCCAAAATCAATCCATGCCTCCACTCTGTCAGTCACGTAAACACCAGGCTGCCTCGAGAATAATGGGGATCTTGTAAAGATTTATAGCTGACTTTTAATGAAATCAGACAGCAGGTCCTTTGGGCAGAGAGCCATCCTTTCAAGCACACCTTATCTTCTGAATTAGATGAGCTGTGCTACTGGCAGACAAGTGTAAGCCAGGTCAAGCCTGAGGATATGGGAGACATATGAGTAAGAGCCACTAGATTTTAAGGTCTTATTTGTGCATATTTCCATTTGTTTCTTACCTTTGATAAACAAAAATCAAAGACTTCTCTTTTTATTTTGGTTGGAGTGGAGTTTCTGTAATTATGCTACTTCCCCTACAAGTTGTTTCAATGCCAATTTCCAGCAATGTGCTTCCTCGCACTACTCACCCCTTTCTCAACCATATTTGCAAACAGGTAGCTATGATCTCCTCCCATAACATGTCTTAGAAGTTACACAGAGTTGGAGAGGTGCTGAGACAGGGACAGTTTCCTGCATAAAGATCAGATGGATGGGATGGGTGGATGCTTCCAATGACAGAGGCTTTCCTTTGATGCCATCTTATCCATTGTTTAGTTTATTGTGACTCGCAGATTTCCTTTAGAATTATTTTCCTTTGGAAATGAGGACTGCAGAGAACTGAGAGATGCTATAACATGGTTTTGCGATGGATTTGCTTCTGTGTATTGCTGAGGGAATGAAGCTGGAAAAGAAAGAGCAAAATACCCTAGAGAGAAGAACACAGATATTAAATGACAACACCCAGGTCAGGACCTGGAGAAAGACAACTCTTCCAAACTGTCTTGTTACGATTGTCAAGGATGGGAATCTAGAGATGAGCTAAAGATTTCATTAGTTAAAAGACCCATCCTGTGGAAAGTGGGATGAAGCTGCCACTGTAAACTAACAGAATGAGATGGAGCCTGGCTATGGCACAAGAGTTATAATTCTGACACCAACACTGAATTTGGTCTGCCAAAGGGCTGATATGAGAACATCAAACATAGGCAAATCAATATGTGCTTCGGTTTCCACTATTTTACATCCATGGGACAAACTAAGAGGGACTTCCAGTGATTATATATATCTGAAAGAAAGAAATAAGAAAGCTTTTTTGTTAACAGGTAATTTCTTCAGCCTGCTCAGAGAAGCAAGGTTAATCTCAGTATAGAACTGATGGAATAATTTCTGTCAAGTGGCCATGTTGATAGACCTCAGTGTTGGGGCCAGGAATCAATAGGGACTTGGATAAAGTAACATACAGGAGAGCCAGCAAAGCCTGGAAGTGAATAGGATGGAGACGGACCAGTTTTTTAAGGTGGACTCATACTCCCGAGCCAAAAAAAGCACTGCAAAAAGAAATAAAAGCAAGAGCAGCAAAGGTGTGAACATGCAGAGATTGTTCAAGCAATTGTTGAGTTCAGGAACTGCATGCAAATCCAAAGAGAATCTGTAGAAAAAGGATGGAAGAATGCCAGTTGATGTTATTTATAATCAAAAAACAATACATTTACACAAAACATTTTCACTTTTTTTGTGCAGAAAATAACCAAACAAAGCAAGCAGCCTCTTTTTTTTTTTTTTTTTTTTTGTGCAAGACTTTGAGCAGAATGTTTTTTAAAAAGGGGCAGAGTATCAAATACAAGTGTACAAATGGGGTGCAGATCACCTTGAGGAATCAGCAAAGCCATAATATCACTTTCCAAAAATTTTAAATGCCTCTAGGGGGAGATTCCTGTAGGACACAAGGAGAAAACTGAAAATCCTGAAGCAAAGTTGGTTCTAGTAAACTGGATCCAACTGGAGCATAAAAGTTAACACCCTTTAAGCAAAAAATCTGGACCACACACTGTCCTGCAGTTAATGAGCAAGGTCTTAATGACATCCTGAAAAAGCAAAGCTTCAAAATAAGTATGTGTTGAAATATGAGCCACTTTAAAAATTAAATTCACGCTTTAGTATGGTTTTAATAAAGTTTAAGTGAAGCAGCAGAACAAGGTTAAAAAATACCATCATAAAAATTACTTTCCCTTAAAAAAAAGAGTACATGGAATACAGTAGTCTCAAAACTGTGTGATTTCACCTGTACTCAGAAGTTCTGGATAACTGATTCGGTCCTGGTCAAACTTAAGTGTTTGAAGCACACTCATTTTTCTCAGGGTAAAATCGTAAATAGTGCCACATTCAACTGTCATTTTGTAAATATGCCATTTAAAAGTGAGTTAAACATATACATATGCCCCACCCAAATATATTACC